ACCCGTCCCGTCGTCCGCAGCATGCCACACCTGGATCGTCCCGTCGAGCGACCACGAGACCAGGACAGGCAGCTGGCTATCCGCACTCGGCAGCGCAATCACACCATGCACATCGTTGGTGTGGCCCTCCAGCACCTCACAGGAGACATCGTCCGCGGTGTACCGCATGGCGCCCATCCCGTCGTCCGCAGCATGCCACACCCGGATCGTGTTGTCGAGCGACCACGAGACCAGGACAGGCAGCTGGCCATCCGCACTCGGCAGCGCAATCACACCATGCACATCGTTGGTGTGGCCCTCCAGCACCTCACAGGAGACACTGTCCGCAGTGTACCGCATGGCGCCCGTCCCGTCGTCCGCAGCATGCCACACCCGGATCGTCCTGTCGTCTGACCACGAGACCAGGACAGGCAGCTGGCCATGCGCACTCGGCAGCGCAATCACACCATTCACCCAGCTGGTGTGGCCCTCCAGCACCTCACAGGAGACACTGTCCGCGGTGTACCGCATGGCGCCCGTCCCGTCGTCCGCAGCATGCCACACATGGATCATGCTGTCCTCCGACCACGAGACCAGGACTGGCAGCTGGCCATCCGCACTCGGCAGCGCAATCACACCATTCACCCAGCTGGTGTGGCCCTTCAGCACCTCACAGGAGACACCGTCCGCGGTGTACCGCATGGCACCCGTCCCGTCGTCCGCAGCATGCCACACCCGGATTGTCCTGTCGTCTGACCACGAGACCAGGACAGGCAGCTGGCCATCCGCACTCGGCAGCGCAATCACACCCTGCACCCAGAAGATGTGGCCCTCCAGCACCTCACAGAAGGCACTGTCCGCGGTGTACCGCATGGCGCCCGTCCCGTCGTCCGCAAGATGCCACACCCGGATCGTCTTGTCGGCCGACCACGAGACCAGGACGGGCAGTTGGCCATTCGCACTCGGCAGCGCAATCACCCCCAGCACACGGTCGGTGTGGCCCTCCAGCACCTCACAGGAGGCACTGTCCGCGGTGTACCGCATGGCGCCCGTCCCGTCGTCCGCAGGATGCCACACCCAGATCGTCTTGTCTCTCGACCACGAGACCAGGACAGGCAGCTGGCCATTCGCACTCGGCAGCGCAATCACACCCTCCACATCGTCGGTATGGCCCTCCAGCACCTCACAGGAGGCACCGTCCGCGGTGTACCGCATGGGGCCCGTCCCATCGTCCGCAGGATGCCACACCCGGATCGTGTTGCCCCACGACCACGAGACCAGGACAGGTAGCTGGCCATCCGCACTCGGCAGCGCAATCACCCCCTGCACCCAGAAGATGTGGCCCTCCAGCACCTCACAGAAGGCACTGTCCGCGGTGTACCGCATGGCGCCCGTCCCGTCGTCCGCAAGATGCCACACCCGGATCGTCTTGTCGGCCGACCACGAGACCAGGACAGGCAGCTGGCCATCCGCACTCGGCAGCGCAATCACACCCTCCACATACTTGGTGTGACCCTCCAGCCGCCCCACGCGTTCACCAGTTTGCACGTCAAGTACGTCCACATTATCCTCACATCCAGCAGCAACCAGCGAGCCACCGATGTTGATGACATTGCCGAACGAGCCATCAAAGCGAAAGCGCTCAGCACCACGATGCGCGACAGGGTCCACGGCTCTCGATGGAATGAGAGCCCCATACGAGGCATCTTCGCTCACAGCAGCAACCAGGTCCTTCACGGCGTTGGACGCGTTGTTATAGGCAAGTCGCGCAACGAGCTCGGTTTCGATGTGCGACTTGCCCCTCTCAATGATCTCGCGTGAGAGCGACAGCGCACGCTCGACCTCGTCAATGTTCTTGGCTCCTTCACAGCCAAGGCGCACAACACAACGCAGGTCATTGAGGAGGCCACCAAGCGAGTCGTTTGCGCGGGCATTCATCCACGGCCAGGAGAGAGCAACGGCAACGGCGGCATGATTCGCTCCGGCTGCAATCAGGTGCGAAATACCGCGGGTGACGATCCAATCGGAGGCAGTGCCAGAGGTCATTGCCGTCTTAGCGGACTCTGGCGTGGCGCCAGGCGGAGGCACCCCGGCGACAATGGCGAGGTGACGGGCAGGAAGGGAAGGGATGTCGTCAAAGCACACCTCAAGCCGATGGCGAATGTACTCGAGGTGCAGATCGTGCAGCTCGACTACGGTTATGGCGCCGCCATCCGTGGCAACGACGCGCAGGAGAGAGGCATCGGCAAGGGCATCGAGGGCCGCAGCAAAGCCAATATCGTCTTTTGGGACTGTGGCGCGAAAGTTGGCGACGTCGATGGGCGCGTCTGATGGAAAGACGCCGAGCATGGCGTAAATAGCGAGTGCTATCGGACGGTCGAGGTCGTCGATGCTGCGGAGGGTCCATGCGATGATATCAAAGATGTGGGCGTACTTGGCGTCGGTGCCGCCTTCTGACTTGCGGTGCTTGTGGAAAGCACGCTTGGAGGCCGAATCAAAGTTAGCAACAGCGGCGTCAAGTGCAGCCTCGCCAGAAATGGACGAGCCAAGGACGGCGAGGGCGAGGGCATGGCCGCGGCAAAGGGTCGCGAGGGAGACGATGCGGGAATCGTTGAGAGCAAGGGTATTTGCCCACTCAGGTGAGCCCTTGGCGAGGTAGTTGCGAAGGACAACAGCAGCG